AATCTTTAAAAAAAAAAAAAAAGACTAGAATCTCCTTGTATCTATCTTTTCATTGCCTCTCTCTACTCTATGACCAGTAGGTTGTAAAGGCTCTATTTAGCTACTTATCTTCATTGAGCTGTATCTTGTGAAGCATAGTGATTTACTCATGGCTCATTACGTCTGACCACCCAGGACAGAATCTCAACTCCATCCACTTTCTAGCTGTGTAACCTAGGTATTTCCCATAACTTTTCCTGAGCCATAGTTTCTTCATCTGAAAGTGAAGATACAGTAACCTACCACTTAGGATAATAACACATTGTAAGGATTAAATGAAATAATCTATATAAAATGTTTAGCCCTGAGAAGGAAAAGCAGCTTCTAAGAGCCTGAAATTGGGCCGGGCTCTATCAACTGTGCCTAGCTGTTGTTAGGAGCTGTCCTGGCACTCACAGCAAGGCCACGTGGTTCTCCTGTTGAATATAAACCATTTCACAGCACACCAACATCAGACAAGGCCACTTAGTGTCCCAGAAGGATCAAGACAAAAACAAGACAACTCTGTATTAGTGTCTGAACTCAGACAAATGAAGAAGTTTGTCCAAGCCACAAAATGACCAAATACCTCCCTAACCTATTTTGAGTGACTGCTCCTTCTTTACCAATTATATCATGAGCTTCCTTTTTTCCTTCCACCTTCTATATAAGTATTAAGATACCTAATCACAGAATTTGTACTCAGATGAGCTAGAGAAAGAATTGAGCTGCTCGATGTCAAAGTAGGCAAAGCAACAATGAGCCAAAACGGAATTAACGGTGAAGCTTTTAATCACTTACTATGATTGTACGAGCAAGAGTCTGTTCCATTACCCTATGGAACCAATTCTCCCACTGTCTGAGGGCCAAGTGGATCAGTGCAAACTTGAGCGTCATCTCACTGTTGAGGGAGTCCCTAACAAGTGTTTTCTGCAGATTTATGGAACTAGGCCATTGTGAAGGGTTGGGGAAGAAAGGAATGGAAAAGTAGGAATGGAAAAGTACTGGGTACTGAGAGAGTGGGTCAGTTTCCCGATAAAGAGACCTCCAAATGGGGACACCTGGCTAGGAATGCAACTATACATAAGAGCATGGCCAGCCAGGAGGGGCCGAGTCTGACGGCAACTCCCTCCAGAGCCTGCAATGCACTGGCTGTGCACCAAGTGTGGTATGGGGAGGGCAGTTTTCCCCTGTGAAGCCTGCCAGGTAAAGCCTTAACTGCTATGGTCAGGCATGAAAAATCACCCACAGGTGTTTTTAATTTGTTTTGTTTTGTTTCGTTTCATAGTTTTAGATTTTTTTAAGATTTTATTTACTTGACAGAGAGAGAGAGAGAGAGAGGGAGAGAGCATGAGCTAGGGGGAGCACGCAGAGGGAGAGGGAGAAGCAGACTCCCCGCTGAGCAGGAAGCCTGATGTGGGGCTCCATCCAGGAACCTGTGATCATGACCTGAGCCGAAGGCAACCACTTAACAACTGAGCCACCTAGGTGCCCCTACCCATAGGTTTTTTTTTTTTTTCTAAAGATTTTATTTATTTATTCATGAGAGACAGAGAGAGAGAGAGAGAGAGGCAGAGGGAGAAGCAGGCTCCCAAGGAGCAGAGAGCCCGATGCGGGACTC